TCCATCCTTCCTTCCTTTACATTCTGGTTTTCATTATTTTCACCGTTGGTCAGGGAATGACAGAGTTGCCTGACTACAACAAGATCACATTCCCAGACATGCCTCCTATCCCCTTGGAAAAGATTGTACCAGATGCTTCATTAGAGGTGAGTTGAAGATCTTGATACACTTCATACTGATCAAAGGCAGGACTAGACCACAGATGGCAGAGAGGGAGGGGCTGGGGGGATATAAAACCCCCTCTTTGCTACTACCCACTAAAGGCCTAGCCCCACTTCACTTTTAGTCTTACACACATTAGTCTGCTATATTTTCCTATAAACCYGCCCCTAGCTTGGGCACAATGTTTTCCCATTTCAGACCATGTGTCATTCCCTAGAGTATCATTCCTTTGTTTAACGGTTGCACACAACAAGACACATACCTATAGATACGGCTCAAGCAAAGAATCTTATTCCCAAGAAAATGACACGTGGTCTCTTGAGCTAAAGAGATCTATTTTGTTTCTTGAATACTTGTTTTTCTTTGCTTTTAGGCTGTTGATTTGCTGAAAAAGTTTCTGGTTTATCCTTCAAAATCAAGAATCCCTGCCTCTGAGGTAAATGGAGTTGGATCGTAGTTACTGTAGATTGATTGGCAATAGGTAGAGAAGGAAAGGGAAGGGAAGGAAAGGAAAGGGAAGGAAAGGGAAGGAAAGGAAAGGGAAGGAAAGGGAAGGGAAGGAGAGGAATGGGAAGTGAAGAAGAATCGAATAGAGAGTAGTGAATGGTTGAAAATAAAATAAAATAATGGAATACTGAGAGGAGAGAAGGAAAGGAAAGGGAGAACAAAGAATAGTGTGGAGAGTAGTAAAGAAAGGGAAGGGAATGGGATGAATAGAAGGGAAGTGGCAGAAAGAACAGAGAATAGTGTGGAGAGTAGTGAAGAAAGGGAAGAGAATGGAATGAATAGAAGGGAAGTGGCAGAAGGAAAGAGAGATTAGAGAATAGTGTGGAAATTAGTGAAGAAAGGAGAGAGAATGGAATGAATAGAAGGGAAGTGGCAGAAAGGAAGGGAAAACGAGAAAATTCAATGGAGAGTAGAAAACGAAGAGAAGAGAATGGGATGAATAAATAGAAAATGAATGAAAGGTGGCCGGGGGAAGRAGAAAATGGAAGGTAGAAGAAGGAAAGGAAAGGATAAGAGGGATTTGAAGAAACAAACAGATGAGATGAATGAGAAAAAAAAGAGAAACGAAGAGAAAGTTTCTTACATGAATGAGTGCTTCCAGTCATGGGAAATCTTTTTCAATCCAAAAGAATAATTTTACTGCCTCTGRTCTGAACAGGCTCTAATCCATCCCTACTTCTTCACGGAACCGTTACCAGCCCACCACTCCGAGCTACCTATTCCAGCAAGAAACAGCAAGATGGCTTCAGTACGATGTTCCCATAGTCGAGGGTTCGATATTGATGCTAAACTAGAGAAGACGCTGATCAACCCAGACAGACTATATCACAGGAAACTGCTCTCTTCGTTAAAACGAATTTGAAATTTTAATTCATTTAGGAGCAAAACAATGGTCCAAAATGGGAACCCAGTTATATTTATTAGTGACCCTTACATCAGGTTTACCGCTGACCTCTAGGAATCAGGCCCAGAAACGCCCGCAAACACGGAGAAACGCTCAGCATCAACAAAGTTCAATATGGCGACTCTTCCAGCAACAATTTTGTTATGACGGAAAACGCCTGACGTCGAACTGCAGTTCGAGGTTTGCGGTACCTAGCAAGAACGTCGTGCTAAAAGTCTCTATTATTATTGTGGAGGGTACCAGTAAACCCTCTTGGAAGCCCACCCCACCCCCTCAGAGACCCTGTAATGACTATCTCTATAAGCCGAGGRAAAAACTGGGTCGGGTTTGCTTTGCAGTGCATTGTAGTAATGTTTTAGGGACGAAATAGACGCCATATTGGAAATATTTCTCGTGTAATTGCTTACTATCAATCACGTGACTTTTTGGAGTTGACTGGGGGGCAAACAAGCGGTTGACTAGGGGGCAACTAGCGGATGCTAAGTCAAAACATATCAGAATAAGTCCTCAAACTATTGTATTTGACTATTTTCACGACATCAAACCAGAAAACAAGAGATCAAAACAACCTCCAGGATTCTACAAGCCATCAAAAAAGAGCTATTACCGGAAGTGACGTCTATTGATAACAACCTATAGCCCCACAATAAGCCTTTTCATAGTTTAAGAATCGATTCCACTGCGCATGCGATTTTATCCCGAATKTCTCATCTTCTTTTGTTTAATTAAGAACAAAAGAAGGTTTAGTCAAAAGAAGGTGAGAAATTCGGGATAAAATCACATGCGCAGTGGAATCGATTCTTAAACTATGAAAAGGCTTATAGGACGTTTGCATGATGGCGTCATTTGACTCACAAAATGCTTCGCGAATTTTCTTTTTTTATTTAATTTTGTATCCAGCTTCACGAGTGTAGTAAGACAATTGCTGCTAATTGACTGAACAAAAGAAAGTATGCAAAGGAGTCTGGTAGTAGGGGTCAATGACGCCGTCATGCAAACGTCCACGCAGTTTTTTCCTAAACTTTGGAACGGCTAATGACGTCGGTGGAATCTGAAATCTGAGACCAAGTAGCGAGCTACAAATTGTAATATAGTCACAGCTGAACGACATAGTTTTCTTTTTTAGATTTTAATCTGAAGGATAAAGTGCAGTTGCTTACACTCCATGAGAAGAGTCTGGGATGATGACCATTATCTATTGCGCATGTCAGTTAGATATTAGTCTTCATGAAGTAGTCCCACATTGACCAACGCAACGAGGAGATATAAGSCGCATAAGGGCAAAAATGCAAAAGCATTGGTCATAGCAAGGGATTWATCTTTTACGGTCTAGGGGCCGACTAACCTCTCCCTTAGGCTTCGGCCGAGCTTTCTGATCAGTCACTGGATAGCGGTGTCGGGGCCGAAATCTCCGGCATAGCCGTAAATGCTTCGCGCTGCCATACTGCGCTTCAGCACCTGGTCTGGAGGTATGGTCCCAAACTAATCAAAACAATAGCAATGATAAAAATGAAACTTTAACTTAAATTTTTGTACAAATTATCATATTGCGTCGAGCTATGAACTTCATTGATGTGTCTGTATTTATTACCAAAAAAGGGGGGAAAAAGGAAAAGATATTGAACAATTTTCCGATCCAGTTTTTAACCCGAATAACTTAAATWAAAAAAATTCCAATTTTGATAACTGGCTGAACTCGATCGCCAGGTAATCTGCATTTTTTCACCACGTATTATCATTTTTGTTCTCAGATGGGCGATGATTTTACTCTCTCCCGCAGCCGGAAAAGGTCCTTTCACTGGATACGAAATAGTCATGGTCTAATGAAGTTCACATCCAGTGAAAGGACATTCTATTACGGAAAAGGCCCTTTCACTGGATGTGCAATAGTCATGGTCTAATGAAGTTCACATCCAGTGAAAGGACCTTCTCCATTACAGAAGAGGTCCTTTCACTGGATGTGAAATAGTCATGGCCTAATGAAGTTCGTCATGGCCTAATGAAGTTCACATCCAGTAAAAGGACATTCTATTACGGAAAAGATCCTTTCACTGGATTTGAAATAGTCGTGGCCTAATGAAGTTCACATCCAGTAAAAGGACATTCTATTACGGAAAAGGTCCTTTCACTGGATGCGAAATAGTCATGGCCTAATAAGTTCACATCCAGTGAAAGGACCTTCTCAATTACGGAAAAGGTCCTTTCACTGGATGTGAAATAGTCATGGTATAATGAAGTTCACATTCAGTGAAAGGACATTCTATTACGGAAAAGGACCTTCTCAATTACGGAAGAGGTCCTTTCACTGGATGTGAAATAGTCATGGTGTGATGAAGTTCACATCTAGTGAAAGGACCTTCTCCATTACGGAAGATGTGATGTCATAGGAGGCATTTTGGTATATTGGGTATATTTGTCATCATTTTWAAATCAAAACACTGATTATTACAATGAGGAAACAAATTTGCAATAACCTTTCTATAAACCCTGAGTAAGATAATCATGTTTTAAACAGGATATTTTACTACCCCAGTAATTTTCGTATATTTAATAATGCCTACTATGACATTACACTCATCAGCATACTGGAAGTATAAACCTTGATATCTCCAAGATGCGTCACTCAAATCATATAAAAATATTTTACTATCTAACTTTTAACTTCATGTAGAATCAATGCTGAAAACATTGAGTTAGGGGTCATAGCCACTTTATAGGTCCGGTTTCACTAGCTGCGCCTTGACATGACACCATGCCATGAGGGAGTGTCAATTTTCACATCTAGTACAAACACCCAATTGAAACTAATTGGAAAAATTATATGTTTTGGTCAAAGCCAAATAAATAAATTATTGTACATGTCAAACGAGTTGTTGCAAATAAGAAACCAGTTGTTCAGATGCATATAACAAACGAAGCTAAACGAGTTACAAACTTGATGCGTACGTGTTTAGCATATCTCGGCATGCGTGTCTACCCAAAGACCAGCATTTTCCATATGTTCCCCGTGCACGAATAAATACACAGCCTATTCCACCCTTTGTTTCGATTCGTCTCCTCTCCTCTTTTACTTTCTTTTTCATTCAAGCAATCCTTACTTCTAAGATAATGTACAGTACGGAAGTTACTCTCGTTTCAGTTCAAAAAATTAAACGAGAATCAAAATTCAAACTCTTTTTCTCGAAGTAACGCCCAATAATTTTCAGCATTTAGTTACAATTTTTACGAGTATCTTAACGCATTGTTTTTTCTTCTTAAAAAAAAAAACAAACAAGAAATAAATGTTATTTTTTATTATTGTTATTATTATTTTATAGTTATTAGGGATTATTAGGACATTATCACAGCCACATTATCGTGACACGGTGGCCCCACCTCTCCACCACGCATGCTCAGTTGTGTATACAAACGTGACTAGAAGCAAAGCAAGATGGCGTCCAACTATCTTGAAATTTTCCCACGTATTTGGGAAAGCTTTTTAATTGAATGGAAAACTTCCCCTCCGACCTCAAACTTCCTCCAAAACTTCATCAAGGACTGCTCTCGATATGGGGTTATCAAGAAGGAGGATTTGTACCTAACTTTTTTGTTGGCGATTTTTTTTACGCTTCAAAGATACGCTGCTACAGCTTTCTTCTTTAAGGTTGGTTTGCAGAATATAGCTGCTCTTACTTAAGTATTTCTGGTATTTGTACTGTTTTTGTGGGTTTAGAGTACATGTAGTGGTTAACCTTAATGGGGTTGCTCGTCGGATTAGAAGAACTCTGACATTTTAAACCAAGAAAACGGAAGATTTTCTTCGTATTGTCGAAAGTCAAAGTCAAGCTTTGTGTTGTTTGTTTGAAAGTAATCTTATATGCCAATATGAGAGTTATCACGAACAATAACTCAACGCTTTTACCATCTTAAACTCTTCTTTCCCCGAATCATGCCTTATTGAAGCTCCAATTGATCTGTATCAAAAACCTGTTTGTTTGCAATTCAATATTAACAACATACAGTAAGCTAATTTATTATGAATATAATCGTAAAAATTCCTAAAAAATTAATTTGACCTTAGGCAAAAAATTCCCTAAAATGAATACTGTATACCTATAATTTTGCCTAMAAAAAGCTTTATATTCTACAATAATGCTGGAGCTAGTTATTAAAGTATTAATATCAAATATGAGTCGTTTCAGATTTAGTTGAACATTTATGAAATTATGATTATTAAGATATAAAATATTCAGATTAAAAGATCAAACAGAAAAAGAGTCTCTTAAAAAGTAGTAAAAAGCTATTCAAAAATTTCATAATTTTCTAAATATTCCATTAACATTATGTTTAGCTAATATTTTATTAAATAATTATTATATTTGTTTCCACTTGGGTAGATCTCTGTATGTTTTGGCTATGGCAATGTAAAGTAAATTTATATCTTACAAAGTTGAATAAGTTGAATAATTTAATTAAAAATAAAAAATAAATGGCTTGAATTTGTAAATGTGTCGTAGTAGATAATTCTATCACCGTAGGTATGAAAGATAGTAGACTGACGTTTCAACCATTTCAACCATTGCATGACTCCGACGAAGGACTAAYGTCCAAAACRTCAGTCAACCATTGACTCCGACGAAGGACTAACGTCCGAAACGTCAGTCTACYATTGACTCYGACTAAGGACTAACGCCCAAAACRTCAGTCCACTATCTTTCGTACCTACGGGGATAAAATTATCTACTACGACACATTTGTTTTAACTAAAAAAACACTGACACAGTCCAAGCTAGTTCCAAAACTAGTCGTTTTCTATGAATTTGTTATAAACAACTTGTGACTCTACATAATGAATATTACACACACAAAGTTGTAATTTCAACTACAAATTATATAAGAAAGAAGGTTTTAATGTCTTACGAATTGAGTGTAAAATTTTTCTCTTTTGTTATTGTGAATATAATGAATTAAACTTAGATTATAAGAAAATGACATCAGTCGATAGTTTCAAGAGATTTCTTAAAAATATTTATTAGCTTTTTAATATTTTGTATATATCATAAGACTTTTTAGATCACTCTTTTATATTTTATAACTTTACATTTTTCTTATCGTATTTAATTTATCTTTTTATCCATRTTTTTGTTTATTCATATTTCTTTAATTGTATTATTGTAAAATTAGTCGTTGTATATTCTTATTTAAGGCACTACTGAAAACCACGCTTAGTGAGTAGGTTTCCCTCATTAAAAATCAACCACACCCTAAATCCATTGTTTCATGTAGGTTATTAAATTCGGCGGAAAACCCAGATTCTTAAAGCCGGCGGCGGAATTGATATCRACAGGGGAGAGCGGGGCTGAATTATAAACCCAGGATAGGTTTTTAATTACTTTTCCTTATACTTGCCCGAGAGAAYGCAAGGTATGAAAATTGAGAATATGAGAATTATTTCTATCGGAACAATAGAGTGCAAACGCGGATATATTGTACTCTATTTCCAAAAGAACAAAGCAACAGTAGTCTATCTCTCTAAATTCATTATAATTTAGTATTTCGTGTTTTGCATCAAAACAATGGAATTKAGGGCTTAGTTGATATTTTAAACCAGTTCAAACGCACRGGCTSGGTTTTGCATTAGAATTCAAGACCTCRGGCCTGCGGTCCTCTGTCTTGAATTCTAATGCAAAACCTTGTCCTAGCGTTTGAACCTTTATTTAAAGATTATCAACACCTATAGAAGTTTCTCTCATTTGTTGCAGCCTATTGCCAACTATTTTCAATTCATCAAGAARGACAAAGAAAAATTCCCAGAGAGTGCATGGAAGTTGTTCTACTATTTTTCTGTATATTGCTATTGTACCTATACACTTTTTAGTCATCGCTTGATGGAAAACCCACGCAGCATCTGGAAAGGTGAGAACACACACTGAATCAAACCCTGTGAATTAGGGACTGTTTGTTTATTACGTCGCAGGGGGGCTGGTGGCCTGGGGGGGTACTACCACCCCAACCCTGACCCTATCCCAGACCTAAAATTTTGATTTTACATACCCTACCCCAGACTAAATCTAAGAATTGWACACCCTATCMCAGACTAAAAGACGGAAAATACGGTTTTACAATCGATTGCAATCAATATTTACTAACATTTTTATTGTTTTTGTGTCGGCAGAAAGCRGAGCCTATTYGCCATACAAAAATGACCAAATCGTTCAAATYGTTAACCCTATCCCAGACTAAAATGATACTCTATCCCAGACAAAATGTCAAAAAATGATACCCTACCCCAGACCCAAAAGCCGAAAAACCATACCCTATAGGGCGACACATACCTGCATAGCAAATATAGGGGAGTCCCCCACCGGGGCTGGTAGTTTGAATAGAAATAGACTCATATCACGCTAGAATGGCATAGTAAAGATATTTGATTAATTGGAAAAAGGAGTTTGCAATGTACAATTAAATTTGTCACATTGATAATACATGTAGTAAAGTTGCAAAGTTTCGTAGAGATTGTCCATAAATTGGKGAAGATATGATTTTTTGAAACCAAGCATTTTTGCAAAGGAATGTATGCTACCAGGCATTGCATAAGAATAAAAATAAAAACATCTAAAAACAAGGAAAGAGATTAAAAGACAAATGGTTTCAAGCGCGCGCTGGATCCTTGTGCGAGAGATAAATTGTCATCCTATGTGTTTTACCTCTTATTGATCACGGCTGTCAGCCAATCAGATTGCAAGAACAGATTGTAAAAAGCCCAGTTGATCTTAAGGCTCATGGGCTATTCAATATCGAGAACTAACTGCAAATTTATCGTGTTTATATATAGGATGGGAACGAGGCATGGCTATTCCAAATGATATCTACAACATATATGTTGTTGAGGCTGGTTTTTACTTCCATTCCATCTATGCCACTATCTATATGGACAAGTGGAGAAGGGACTCTGTTGTTATGATACTACATCATATATTAGCAAACTCTTTGATTATATTCTCCTTCGCTATGAGGTTAGTTGTCTTAGGGAACAGTCATTATTTAAGTCAGAGGGGGGAGGGGGGTGGAGGAGAAATTGTTTTTCATGCAAAAAATTTTCCATACCCCAACCAAATAGCATTCATGTTTTTTGGGTACCCCCTCCCCCACTTCAATGGTTTAAAAAATCCTCCCAATCCTCCTTTTGACCTTTCAAGGCCCCCTCTGTTTAACTAAAAAAAATTTGAGTGCCCCCCATTTTCTCCTCCACCCTCCCCCGCCCCCTTAGACCCCACCA